AAGAAAGAAAAGGATGGGGCTGAGGTGCAGCTCATTTAACAAAATGCTTGTCTGAAAAGCTCTAGGTTCCATCACCAGAACCACACACACACACACACACACACACACACACACACACACCACCACCACCACCACCACAACCACCACCAAAAAAAAAAAACCAAAAAAAAAAAAAAAAAAAAAAAACAGGTGTGCTGGTTCACAACCCTAATCCCAGTACTTGGGAGGTTGAGGCAGGAGGATCAGAATTCAAGATCATCAGCTACACAACCTGTGATACTTGAGACCCAGAAGGAGGAGGAGGAAAAGAGAAGGGAAGGAGAGCGAAATAAATTCTTAGCCCAAAGATAAGCAAAGGAGACGCGGCTCCTCAGCCATTCTTTGAAAAGTTTCAAACAATGCGGAAGAATGGCACCAGGGGTTTTCATATTTTAACCTCCAAGATTCAATGCCCAACATTTTTCATACTTGTTTCATTTTTTTTTCTTGGCCAAACAATTGCAAAGTAAAGTCTGGAAGCTTGACATTTTGCTCCTAATAGACCAGTGTGCACCTCCATCTTCATTCGTGAGTGTGATACAATTTTAATTGTTCCACCTCACAGAATTAATAGTAGCTCTTCTGTGCCATCCGATACCCAGTTCAGATTTGCCCCAAAGGTAGGCTTATTTCTCCTTCTCTACCTCAAATCTTTTTCTTGTTTTTTTTTTTTAAATCTTTCTTCTTTATTTATTTTAGGATTAATTTTTACTTAAGTGCATGCTTGAGTGTGTGTGTGTGTGTGTGTGTGTGTGTGTGTGTGTGTGTGTGCCACCTGTGTGCAGAACCTGCTGAGGCCAGGAAAGAGCATGAGATCCTAGGGAGAGGGAGTGGTGGGCAGCAGGGAGACGTGTGAGGTGGGTGCTGGGAACTGAACCCGCGCCCTCTGCAGGGGCAGTAAGTGATTTAACTGCTGAGCCTTCTCTCCAGCTGGTTTTCACCTTTCCTTCTCCCTCCCCTCCCTCCCCCTTCCCTTTCTCTTTCACAAGGTCTTAATACATAGCCCAAGGAGGCCTTGAACTCAAAATCCACCTGCCTCAGCTTCACTAGCTCTGGGAATATCCAAGCTTGAGTCACGGTTGGCAACTCCTGCTTTTGTTTGTTGAATTAGGCGACCAGCTAGGTGTGTGCATTGCACACAGTTACTTTCTGTTAGACCTCGGCGATCACGTGCGTGTTTTTATTTTTATGACATCGACCTTTCAGAGTCAAGACTATGTTTGTACAATGTTCTCATTCTAACTTATCAAGTTACTTCCTTATGAATCATCTAATTTTCCCGTATCCTGTGTGCTTCCTATAAACCAGAACTTTAACCAGCATGTTGGATGAGACCCAACATACACATTCAAGGCAAGACACTGGCTTGAGGAGTACTGGGAGGCACACAGAAGCAGGCTGCTCGCACTTTCCCTCTTGATGGAATAGATAGATTGGCCGGCCAATGAATTGACTTCATCGCAGAAGTACTATTAAGTACTCTTGTCTTGCAACTCACAGACTTTGGGGCGTGCCCTAGCCCTACCAAATGCATACAGGCAGGCTTGCTTGTTTGTTGATTTGTTCATTCATCTTTCTCTTGTGTAGTCCAGGCTGGTCTAGAACTTGCTATCTAATCCAGGCTCGCCTTGACTTTGAAATCCTCCGTCTGCCTATCCCAAGTGTGCAGTGACACCAGGTTTATGGGCACTGTTCGAACCAACTCTCCAGGCGAGGAAGAGCCTAACCCAGATGAAGGTGCAGGACCCTTCAATAACAGGCGGGATGTCTATGTCAGTGGCCCTGAGGAAGGGGCTCTAGGGAGGCTGCAGCTGGACCACAGCCAAGAAATGACAGGAGCTAGGGGATGAGGGGAAGGGACTTTGAGTGAAGGAATGACCAGGGAAGCAATGCGAAATTGTGCAGCATGAACAAGGGAGTTTCCTCTAGTCACACTGAGGGTGACTCTGAGGCCACCTGGTAGGGACCTGGTGTGTGTGTGTGTGGGGGCTTTTCAGGCTCCCAGCCCACCCTCACTTCTTCTTACTCCATCCAGCCAATCAGGAGGATACAGCCACACTCCCCAACCCCTTCCTCCAGCTCAGTCCCTAGACTTAGATGTTCAGGAGGCCCCTTGGCTGCCCCGTGCCTATGAATCGCCTCATGGCCTATTCTTATTTTCACCTCTCTTATAGATTTACTAGCATAAAATGTGAATGTTATTCCCTATCGTTACATAGCAGGTATTGTCTGAGTTGGGGAGCAGATTGCTATATAGCCCGGGCGACCTTTGAACTCCAGAGCCTCCTGCCTCTCTCTCTCACGAGTGTTAAAATGCGAGGCATATTCCACCAGGCCCCAGGTTTTTATGTGAGAGGTTGCGCCCAGGACTGTGGACATGCTGTGCATGCGCTCTACCCACTGAGCCAAACCCCAGGACCATGCAATGTTACCCCAAACGGCAGGCAACAGAGAAGGTCATTGTTACTGCCTCATTACAGATATTGAACGCTGTTGCCATAGTAGGCATGAAGATGCGTTGGTAAAATTGTCATCAGTTTCAGGAACGTGGAAGGAAAGTCTGCATGGCACCTATGTTAGCCTATGTTAGCCATAGACAACATGATGGGTCGCGAGGCTGTGGAGTTAGTGAGAGGAGGCTGACCACTGCATGGAGAGATGGTGAGTGTGGGGGATACTGAAGAAATGGGGTCCTATCACTCAGGACCGCGAGGGGTGCACCCACACACTGAGACAATGGGGATGTTCTATCGGGAACTCACCAAGGCCAGCTGGCCTGGGTCTGAAAAAGCCTGGGTTAAAACCGTTCTAGCTGAACATAGCAGACAATGAGGACTACTGAGACCTCAAGAACAATGGCAATGGGTTTTTGATCCCACTGCACCTATTGGTTTTGTGGGAGCCTAGGCAGTTTGGATGCTCACCTTACTAGACCTGGATGGAGGTAAGTGGTCCTTGGACTTCCCACAGGGCAGGGAACCCTGATTGCTCTTTGGGCCGGAGAGGGAGGGGGACTTGATTGGGGAGGGGGAGGGAAAGGGGAGGCGGCGGTGGGGAAGAGACAGAAATCTTTAATAAATAAATAAATAAATGAAAAAAAATGGAAAAAAAAAAGAAATGGAGTCCTAGCTCTGAGAGACTTCTGAGAGCCTACTGAATTCTCAGGGAAACCACAGACCCAGGATCCAGAGAGAGACTGGATTTGCAGATAGAGGGAGTGGAGTCCCCCTGATCCCCCCCCCCCAAAAAAATACTATAAGAAGACATCAGAATTCCCTGAAGGTCTCTAAAACCATTATCTGTGGGATCTTAGCCATGGGTATGATGTAACAGCTTCCCTGATAAGAAGGACAAATAGCCTGATTCAAAAACCCTTGGGAGGTGTGGCATTCACCTTCACTGCGTGTGCTTAGGAAAAGGGCAGCGTTTCATTTCTATGTTATGCTTATACGGTGCTTCAAGGTAAGAAAGCCTATGTAAGATCTAGGGAAATGAAGCTACATGTCCCATCCATAAGCCCACTGCTTCTCTATCTAGCAAGCAAGTGCCGATAAACTCAAGTATAAATATAAAATTGAATCCGAGGCATCAAATTGGCTGTGCTCTTAGGTGAAGCTACTTTCAATCCACATATGAGAGTTTGTCACCTATTTTTTCTCCTTAAAATCACAGTCTCAGCACCATATCGATGAACTCTTAATGGTTTTTCGTCAACAGTGGACGAAGTGCCATCCCTAATCCTTTATTAAAGTGGAAACCTGGGAAGAGTGGAACATACAGCGAATGCCATCCCTCGGAGCTGTAACAAGCTTTGAGAAGCATGAACGACAATGGTGTTCAGGTTCCTGGCTTTAGTGAACACAGGCATACAGGACACAGAGTCTCAGCTCATAGAAAAACTCAAGACAAAACACCAGTGTCTACAGAATTCTAAACCAAAGACCACAGGAGGTGGAGTGGGTGTGTGGTGGTTCACACTAATAATCTCAGCCCTTAAGAGGATGATGCAGAGGAGTCCAAGACTAGCCTTGGATGCATAGCAAGACCCTGTCGTACACAAAAATAGAAAGCATATTTTAGGTCACTAGGTACCCATCCAAACCCTGTAATTTGGAAAGAAAAAAAAAAACCTTCCTTTGCCCAGAAGACCACAAGGAACTTCTTAGAACTTTTGTTTACGGTAACCCCAACCCACACCTGATTGCCTCCCAGTAAACAACTGGCTAAATACAACAAAGTAACATCACTCTGAGAAATGGCATCTTTCTCTCCTTTTTCTATGTCAAACCATTTTATTACATCTTAATTTCCAGTAGAGTTTAATATAGTCTCTATTTTGCATCCAGCCTCCCGCCTCCCTGCAGTACACTGACTTTAAAATCAAATGCAAAAGTCGGAAAGGGTGCAGATATAGAGAGGTCCACACTTGTTTGGTGGAAAGAGAAAGGGCCCCACTGTATCCCAGGCCCAGGCCTCCTGCACAGCCACAGCGCAGCTTTGAGCATGATACCACTTCAGAAACAAGCAAACAAAACAAAACCCAGGGTTTCTGCCATAGAAAGCAGAGTGATGAGGCCACTGTTGCTGCTACGGGCTGGTGTGTGTGTGTGTGTGTGTGTCTGTCTGTCTGTCTGTCTGTCTGAGGGAGGCCTGTCGAATACAGGGGGAGGGGAGAGACCACAGAACATTGTCATCCAAACGCTGCTGCTGAACATGAAAACCACGAAGATCTGCACGGTGTAAAAGTAGTCTTCCTTACATGCAAGACGCTATTTCGTGGAGGCAGGCTTCCAGGAAGAGACAAAGACAGCAGCTGTCCCCCCTCTGCCCCCCCACCCCGCCCCATGAGGCCAACAGCAACAGCAATCATTCCAAACAGAACTATTTAATTTCGTTTTCGTTTTCTCTTTTTTTTAAGCAAAAAAAAAAAAAAAAAANCAAAAAAAAAAAAAAAAAACAAAAACAAAAACAAAAAGAAAAAGAACAATGACTTATCATTACTCAAGCTTGTAAAGACCTTGCTAATTCCAAGATGTGTGCAGAGCAACAGCAGGAACGGACGGAGCCACTGCTGTTAGGACATGAAGGAAAAGAGTGTCTGGGGACTGAGTCCTGTGTGCACCCCCGAGCATGGCTGCAGCGTGCAGTTCTAAGAATAAACCCACCCAGCCGGGTCGTGGTGGCGCAATCTTTAATTCCAGCACTCGGGAGGCAGAGGCAGGCGGATCTCTGTGAGTTCGAGGCCAGCCTGGGCTACAAGAAATAAAAATCAAGTTGTTTACATTTCAGTTTAGGAAATGTGAGATCATTATTTTCAAAACCTGATTTGCACGTTGTTTCACACACAGATAACCAACTGACGGTCCAAGCACAGGACATGTACCTCTCTGGACAAGTCTGTGACAGGAGACTTGTGTCACAGTGGCTAGTGTTACATGACTACAAACTTTCCTCCAGCTTCCCAGGAAACTCAAGGTAAGAGCAGAAGCTAGACCATGAGGACAGGTGGGAGGAGGGTGCTGGAAGGCTCACTGCTCAGCAAAGGGGGAGGAGGATCCTGACCAAACCTTCATGGCCACTGTAACATGTGCGTGGCTGCTTTGCTTCTGAATCTTTTCGGCTTTGTTGACAGCAACACACTTCTCTTGTGGACTGGTTCCCCTCCCTGTTAGCAGCTCTCCTCAGCAGGTATCCCACAACCCTGGCATCTCCAACATCTTGGGGTCTCCGAGGTGATCCAGGTTTCACCTTCACAGCTTCACTCAGTGGCCTCTCTGGATCTCTGTACAGAGACACCACTGACACATGCCTGGCCTCAGCAGCTTTCCTTAGCCACAGAGGGAGCGCCCATAACCCCCTTTTCATATCCTTGACTCTAAAGCCAGAACCACATGCCACAGTCCCTTTAAGAGAGGTCTTCCTGATTCAGCGATAGCAGAAAAAAAGCCATGCCATTTTGAAATGTGTCTTCCTGGGCCATGCTGCTAGCACAAACTCTGATGTGATTCATCTATCAAGCACTTAAATGGGGTTTGTAAGCAGCGTGTTACAAACTACTTAATGGCTCAACATAGACCCGCTGGAACTGGAATATGCACAGCTTGCAGAGGCAGTGAATGGACTTCCACCATGCTGGACTGGGCTTTTCTGCCACTGCACCCCTTGGGGAACCTGCAGCATTTTACTTAAACCATAACAGCCTGTAGCTCCAGTTCCCTCTGGGTGCTGAGTAAATGTGGTGCACATCAACCCACACAGGCACACACACACATGTGCATAAATAAAAATAAATCTTTAAAAATGTCTTAATAATTTTTTATAATTTTGAAAAATTGTTAATTGGTTACTGTTGTACCTGTATGTGCTGGGTGGAGATGCTGCAGCTTGTATGTGGAGGTCAGAGGACAGTTCTGTGGAACCCTTCCACCCTTACACAGGTTCACAGGTTCTACACATCACCACGTTTGTGCAGGAAGCAACCTTACCTTCTGAGCCCTCTCACTGGCCCTCCTTTACCAGTTGTAGTTATGTTGGGAGCTCCCTTTTTAGTTCCATACCTTCTTTCTAGCTGGATTTTCTCATTCTTTATTTTTATTTATTTATTTTGAGGTAGGGTCTTCCTATGAAGCTTTGACTGACTTGTGAGTCACAATGTAGACTAGACTGGCCTCAAACTCATAGAAACCTGCCTGTCTCTGCCTCCTGAGTGCTGAGATTAAAGACATGTGCCACCATGCCTGGTAGTTATTTGTTTCTATTTAGTTTTTCAATAGAGTATTCTCTGTGTAGGTCTGTCTCCTTTGGAACTTACTCTGTAGACCTGGCTGACCTTGAACTCAGAGATCTACCTACCTCTGCTTCCTGAGCACTGGAATTAAAGGCATAAATTCCTACATCCAGCTAAGGTTGATGATTTCCTTTTATTTGTTTGTTGCTTGCTTTTAATTTAAAATTTTAAACAATCTTTTTTATTTTACATACCAATCCCAGTTTTCTTTCTCTCCCCTCTTCCCATGCCCCACTTTCTCCCTACCCCACAACCCATCTATTCCTCAGAGACGGTGAGGCCTCCCATGGGGAATCAACAAAGTCTGACACATCAGTTGAGGCAGGACCAGCTCTTCTCCCTGTATCTAGGCTGAACAAGGTATCCCTCCATAGGGAATGGACTCCAAAAAGTCAGTTCATGCACTAAGGATAAATGTTGGTTCCATGACCAGTTGCCACACAAACTGCCTAAGCCACATTAATGTCATCCACATTCAGAGTGCCTAGTTTGGTCTAATGTAGGTTACCCAGATCTCAGTCCAGAGTCAGGGAGCTCCCACTAGCTCAGGTCAGCTGTTTCTGTGGGTGTCTCCATCATGGACTTGACCCCTTTGTTCATATTATCACTCTTCCCTCTCTATGACTGAACTCCAGGAGTTTATCCTAGTGCTTAGCTGTGGATTTCTGCATCTGCTTCCATCAGTTACTGAGCCATCTCTCCAGCCCCTATTTCTGGGTTTTGAGGTAAATTGATTGCCAATTTTCTGAGAAACTGCCTTACTGATTTCCAAAGTGGCTGTATAAGTTTGTACTCCCACTGGCACTCAAGGAGTGCTCCCCTTACTCCACATCCCCTCCAACATGAACACTGCTCTTGATCTTAGCCATTTTGACAGGTTTAAGATGGTATCTCAGAGTTATTTTGATTTGCATTTCCCTGATGGCTAGGGATGCCGAGCAATTTAAGTGCCTTTCAGCCATTTGAAATTCTTCTGTTGAGGAATTCCTCTGTTGTACTCCATTTTTAGTAGGATTATTTGGTATTTTGATGTCTATTTTCTTGAATTCTTTATATATTTTGGAGATCAGCCCTCTGTCAGATGTAGGGTTGGTGAAGATCTTTTTCCAGTCTATATGCTGCTGATTTGTCTTGTTGACTGTGTCCTTTGCCTTACAGAAGCTTCTCAGTTTCAGGAGGTCCCATTGGTTAATTGTCAATCTCAGCATCTGTGTTACTGGTGATATATTCAGGAAATAGTCTCTTGTGCTAATGTGCTCAAGGCTGCTTTCTACTTTCTCCTCTATGAGGTTCAGTGTGGCTGGATTTATGTTGAGGTCTTTGATCCATTTGGGCCTGAGTTTTGTGCATGGGGATAGATAATAGATAGGAATGTATTTGTGTTCTTCTACATGCCAACATCCAGCTAAACCAGCATCATTTGTTGAAGATGATTTCTTTTTTCCATTGTATAATTTTAGCTTCTTTGTCAAACATTAGGTGTTTGTAGGTGTGCTCTTATCTTGCTTCCTCTGTGTCTGGCTTCCTCTGTGACAACTGCAGACTGACTCTTTCCTCTTCCCAGAATTCTCCTGTTCTCATCAGCCTACCTCTACTTCCTGCATGGTCGCCCTGCCTATACTTTCTGCCTGGCTACTGGCCAACCAGTATTTTATTAAAACAATACAACTGATGAATCTTTACAGGATACAAGATTATTGTCCCACAGCACTCTACCCCTTTTTATTTCTAAAACAAGAACTCTGAATCTAATCTCCTTTCTTTAGCTTTCTCCCTGACCATTATCCATAACAACTTATTACCAACACTCTAAACAAAGGAAAATATCCATAATTCATTTTGGGGGAATGCAGACATAATTTTCCAGGCTACTTCCTGCTGATTGGGGGTGCTGATGATCTTATGGGGACCTAAAAAATTTAGAATTATGATCAAGTCCTGACTGGAGTATCCTGTGAAGCTTGATCATCTCAGCCAGCAGTCTTGAAACTGTTCTGGATGTAGAACTCAGACATCTAAGCGATCTGCTTTTATCAGAGATTTCTCAGGGGATCTTCCTTGATCAAATCTGATTTTTCTTAGCCCAGAATGAATCCACAGCCTCTTGTTTCCTGTTAAAACAAAAGCAAAACCTCTTCTCCAAAGTAACCTATCTTTTGACTTATATCTTAAAGTCAAGGCATTTTCAAAATATATATGTTGGATTAAACCAGCAGCATTTATAATCAAATGTCTTTTAGCAGCTGTTGCTCCTTCCTCAGCATTCAAACAATTCAAAGACAATACAATAAAATACAGTATCCAGACTCTCTGTGTATTTTCCACCTTTACATGGCTTTCTTTAAACTCTATTTCTTTTCTTTTTCTTTTTCTTTTTCTCTTTGAGACTAGGTTTCTCTGCGTACCTTTAGCTGTTCCTGGCACTCATTCTGTAGACCAGGCTGTTCTTGAACTCACAGAGATCCACCTGCCTCTGCCCCCCAAGTGCTGGAATTAACTACTTTCTTTCTTATTTTAAGAACTTTATCCTTTTTCTTTTCTTTCCCAAGCCTACATATATTTTTTAAACACAGTCTACACCATTTAGAGGTTTTATTTGTCTGAATCTATCTTTACTGTGTATTTCTTTTTCTGACCACAGGAGTCTTTAATTTGCTAAGTGATATGGCTAGGATTAAAGCCACAGCTTTGACAAGTGGATCCACCCTGTTCCTTAGATTTCTGAGAGTCTAGCTTCGTGTCAGAGGTACTGACCAGGACCATGTTTATTGCCACAACTTTATGGAGTTCCAAGGTCCATGCTGCTACCAAGAAGCATGCTGTTGGCTATTCATAAACACCATTTAAATGTTTTGTGGTGGGGGCCTCTTAAAAGGTTTACAAAATTTTTGCAGCTAAAGCTGAGTCAGGAAGCCTCTCTTAAATGAGACAAGCTTGCCTCTAGCAAATAGAGTCCACCCAAGAAAATGCTGCTACCAAGAAGTTGTGTTTAACTGTGTTCTTTTGGGTCTAGAATTACTTCCCAAACTCTCTCAGGTTTTAAGTGGATTTAGCTGTCCACGTTGGTACCATTTTTTTTTAAAAAAAAACCATTTATTTATTCATTATGGATACAATATTCTGTTTGCATATATGCCTGCAGTCTAGAAGAGGACACCAGACCTCATTACAGATGGTTGTGAGTCACCGTGTGATTGCTCCGGTCCTTTGGAAGAGCACGCAATGCTCTTAACCACAGAGCCATCTCTCCAGCCCTCCATTGGCACCATTTGTTGACAGAGGTTTCTGTCTCACCAGATCCTGCAACCATTCAGTCCCAAAGGAACACACAGAGATCTACATTAATCACAAACTGCTTGGTCTATTAGCTCAGGCTTCTTATTAACTCTTCTTATTAACATCCTACATTAACCCATAATTCTTGTCTGTGTCAGTCAAATGGCTTGATACCTTTTTATCAGTGAGGCATTCTCATCTTGCTTCCTCTACTTCTGGGTTATGACTGCAGATCGAGTCTTTCCTCTTTCCAGAATTCTCCACTTCTGGCCACCCTACCTATACTCCCTTCCATTGTCCCACAGCATCCCACTGTTAGTGTTGAGGTTTAATGTGTGATTTGTTTTAGTAATATTTCTTTTACAAATGAGGGTGCCCTTGAATTTAGGGCATAGATATTCAGAATTGAGACTTCACCTTAATGGATGATTGAAAATATTTTCCCAACCCTTTACTCTGAGGTAATGTCTGTCTTTGAAGTTGAGTAATGTTTCTCGTATGCAGCAGCAGGATGGATCCTATTTTGTATCCATTCTGTTAGCCTGTGTCTTTTTATAGGTGAATTGAGACCATTGATATTAACAGATGTTAATGACCAGTAGTTGTTAGTTTCTGTTAGTTTTGGTTTGGTTGCTGGTGGTGGTGGTATTGTGTGTGTGTTTCCCTTTTTTTGGAGGGGGGAATTCTAGTGTGGGATTATCTATTGCCTGTGTTCTGTGGGTGTAGCTTGTTGTGGGAATTCAGCATTCTGGTCAGAACTTCAAATAACAACTTCAGAAAAACCCTTTGAACTACTTAGAGACTATCTACAATTGTAGTAGACAGTTTGAGACTCAACCATCATTTTAGTTTTTATAGGATTCCATAGGAATTACATCACCCCCATGACAACTGGAAGTAATTCTAGAAAACGGCATGCCCTTTCACAATGGAAATGGTCTTCAGGGTTAGGGACAGTTATCATCTGTTCGGAGTTGGTTATAAGTTATATAGGGTTGGAGGTGGAAATGGAGTAGGCTCAGGGATCTCTTTTGAAAAAAAAAATGGGGGAATGGATGGAATGGGATAATATGTAGATTAGCGTATCTACTTGTAAACTATTAGTTATATTGATACAGGTTCTAGTCTGTTTACAATATTTGTGCACCTATACAAAGTAATTTTGTCATTGTATGGGTGCATGTTTCTACCTCTGCTTAAGATATTTTGTATATTGATGCAATTTTAGTATACATTTCTATTTATTTATCATATTGCTTTATAAATTTATGCCTCTAATCAAGATACTTGGTGTGGAAAGTTCTTCTGTATTTGTGCTGCTTTTATTGGTTAATGAGTAAAGAAGCTGTCTTTGACCTGCACATGGCAGAATAGAGATAGGTGAGAAAAACTAAACTGAATGTTAGGAGAAAGAAGGAGGAGTCAGAGAGACACCATGTGGCTGCCAGAGGAAAAAGACACAAGCGGCCAGTTGGAACCTTGCCAGTAGGCCATGAGCCTCATGATAAAATATAAAATAATAGAAATGGGTTAAATTTTTTTTTTTGGTTTTTCAAGACAGGGTTTCTCTGTAGCTTTTTGGAGCCTGTCCTGGAGCTAGCTCTTGTAGAGCAGGCTGGCTTAAAACTCACAAAGATCCGCCTGCCTCTGCCTTCTGAGTGCTGTGATTAAAGGCATGCGCCACCACCACCTGACTGAAATGGGTTAATTTAAGATATAAGAGTAAGCCAGAAATATGCTTAAGCTATTGGCCAAACAGTATTGCAAATAATATAGTTTCTAAGTGATTATTTCAGGTCTGCGCAGCCAGGAACAAATGAGTGGCCTCAGTCCTACTACAGATACATATATATATATATATATATATATATATATATATATTGTTTAAAATTTGAAGCCATTGTCCTCATCTGTTGCACATCTGCTTAAAGATTGTTTAATTTTATAACATAAAACCTTAGTCTTTAAGTTATATAGGTATTAAGAATTACAAATCAATAGCCATCCATGTTTATCACAGTTATATTTAGGCTGGTCAGGTTGTCTAGAGATTGTACTCCACATAGATAGGTAATCTTCAACCATTTCAAGAAACTTCTGAACATGGCATTTAAATAATTCAGAATTCTGTTGACATGAGACATGATTGCTCCTGGCAGCACCAATCTATTTCCAAGAGAATGTTTGGCACCAAAAACACTCAACTTGGAGATTGTTTTCTTCTCAGCAAAACTGGCCACTGGGCTAAGAACTGTCCCTGCCTTGACTATTGACAGTATGCACTCTGTCCAAACTGGACAAGCAGGATCCAAGCAAAAACAACTGCCAAACCTTGCCAAGGAAGGGTAGAATAGTCTTTTGAATTTTCCTGCCTCTGAAAATGGTCTGTCAGATACTCTAGGCCTTAGCAAAAGTTGGTTGCCCCGATGTTTTAAGTGAGACTTTGGGCCTGTGGGGGCTGCTTTCTTTCAAGCTGCCACAGTCATAATCATCTAGAACAGTGGTCCTTAACTATGAGTCATAACCCCTTTGGGGTTCGAACAACCCTTTCATGGGGATTGCATATAAGACCTTCTGCATATCAGATATTTTAATTATGATTCATAGTAGTAGCACAGTTGCAGTTATGAAGTAGCAATGTAATAATTCTATGACTGAGTACCACCACAAGAGGAAGTGGTCTTCCACTTAAAGGGTCACAGAGTTAGGAAGTTTGAGGACCACTACTTTGGAAAGTCAGACGCTTCAGTCAGATCTTCCACTTTAAATCTTAAAACACCTCCTTATGGTTTTCTGATCTCCTCTGTCATGTGACCCCTCCTTTCTCTTCTCTGACTTTGTACATTTGGGGCTTTCCCGCCTTTCTTCTGGTTAATTGTCCGAGGGTTTGCCCATCTTGTCTTTTTAAAGAACCAACTCTTTGCTTCATTGATTCCTTATATTTATTTCATTAATTTCTGCCAGGATCTTAAGCACATCTTGAGCTTTTGCCTCTTCTTAGTGAGATCTAGGTCTGTGGAGCTCACACACCTTGCAAGAATGAGGTTCTTGGTTCAGTCACTACCAGGGGAGGGGATGGGTGAGGGGTGTTCAAAAAAGAATGAACAGCAACAAAAATCCCCTTACAAACAGAAAAACGCAGTAGTCACCCCTTTGTAACTGAATCGTTTCATTGCCCTTAGTATAACGTCCTCAAAAGTCATACATGTGATAGCATGTGTCAGAATTCCCCTCTTTAAGTTCTGAGTAATATTCCGCCAAGGCTGTGCAGATCTACTCCCCTGCTGGTGGGCACTTGGATAATGTCTGCCTTTTGATAACTACATCTGTGCCCAGGAGTTCAAACTTCACATCCTTGCCAATACTTGATGTCTTTGGGTTTCCTGTTTTCTGTGGGTTTTCTTCTCATTTCCCCAGTGATTGGTGGTGTGATGCATATTTTCATGTTTTCTTGGCCACTTGAGTATCTTCTGTGGAGAAGGGTCTCTTCAAGTTCTTCTGAGGCAGGAAAGAAGGCAGGGAAGACTATGAGCAGTCATAGGAAGGGGAAGGAGCCCCTCCATCTAGAGTCTAGTTGAAGCCTCTAACCAACACAATTAACACTGGCACCAGGAGCCAACATAGAAACAGTATCTCTTTCTGACATTGTACTGTAGCTCAGCAGCAAACAGGCATGAGGCCTGATTGCCTAAGACCTGGGGAAGTGTCTTTTCCTCTCCCAGACGTCCTTGGGAAATCCCAGACATTAACTTTGTTCACGGTGATGGAGAGGAGACTTATCAATTGTGGTCCTGCTGGATGCCCCTCAGGAACCACTCTGGGATCTCATCTGGATTTCTTAAGCAAACTTTCGAGGACAAAGCCTCATAATTCATCATATAGGTAGATAGTGAAAGACAGCACGGCAGGGCTGCCTTTGCGATGCCCCCAGCTCATGCAATCAGCTTCATCTTTCCTCCTGAGTTCCTCTCTATTAACCCCTGCTTCAAAATCCATTTAAAAACCACCTTTGAGTAAATGCCATGTCTGTTTCACATTGACTTGTCCTGGAACCCTTTTCTGTGACAAAGGCAAGGACCTGGGTTCACCTGAGTGAACTGGTCTCTGAGAAGAACCCTATAGGCTGCTGTAGGCACCAGCATGGAGCTATGTCTCCATTCTTGTCACTGCTGACACCTCGTCTATTTTGTTACAGAGTTGGTGGCCGGGATCTTCTTGTCAGATTCTGACTGATGCACTCTGGTTTCCTCCTTGCTCACACAGAAGGAACGGAGGCTCCAGGGCAGAGCACCTTGGTACACCCTCAGAAGCCCTGCATCTGCCTGAATCGTTGATGTGAACCCTTCCAGATGCTGCATGGAAGCAAATGCCCTGCACCTGCAGCTACTGCCGGCAGAGTCCAGCGAAGCAGACATGAAGGGAACCCTTGTTGATAGCATGTGAAGGGCTGGAGTCGGTGCGGAACACCCTGAGACCACGTTCTCAGCACAGGAGATGTATTTGTCCCAGTGGGACAAAGGGCAGGGAATAACAGACAAAGACAGGAGACAGGGACCAAAAAAAGACAGGAAAAGGAAAAAGGGAGGAGTAAGGGATATTTGTCCTGGAGGGACAAAGGACCACCTCTGGACAGAGAGGAGACAGATATTGGCCCATAGGCAAATGGCAGTTCATAAAGGGAAAGGGGGAAACTCCATGTTAGGATGAGTTGTTTACCTTTAATTGGCCATGTTAATTACATGAACCAAAGGGGGCTTTTGATTGCTGGGCTACAATACTTTGATAGCTGGTCGTTGGTGGTGAGCCTCAGGAGAAGGAAGTGGCTAAATTTAGGACTGTAATCTAACAGTTTAGGAAGGAAGAGGGAATGGGGGGGGCAAGACCTGCTAGAGCCATGTCTGCCAACCTTGGGCCTTCTAGACCCTTTCAGGAAGCCTGTGGTTGGTGCTTACACTCAAGAAATCAAAAGACATTGAGCTCGAAAGGTTCTTCTTTGTTGCCTGTGCAGTGTGAGGTGTGTGTGTGCCTCTCTCTCTCTCTCTCTCTCTCTCTCTCTCTCTCTCTCTCTCTCTCTCTCTCTTTTTGTGTGTGTGTGTGTGTGTGTGGTGATTTGAATGAAAATGACACCCATAGACTCATAGGGTGTGATTTTATTGGAGGTGTGGTCTTTTTGGAGGAAGTGTATCCCTAAGGGTGGGTTTTGAGGTCTCAGATCCTCAAGCAACACCCAGTGTCTCAGTCTCATCTTGCTGCCTGCCTGTCCAGATGTAGAACTCTCAGCTACCTCTCCAGCACCACCATCTGCTTGCATGCAACCTTGCTTCCCACCATGACAATAATGAACTAAACCTCTGAACTCTCCAATTAAATGTTTTCCTTTATGAGAGTTGCCATGGTTGTGGTGTATCTTCATAGCAATAAAATTCCTAACCAAGACAGAAGTTGGTACCAGGACCTGGGATATTGTTGCAACAGGCCTGACAATGGTTTTGTTTGGATGAATCTGAACTTTGGAACTTTGAATTAGAAAAGCCGTTGAGTGCTTTAAGTGGGGCTTAATGGGTCATCCTAGTAGGAGCGTGGAAGACAGTGATGCTAAGGATGATATGAACTGTGGGAGCCTGGTTCAAGAGTCTCAGAGAAGAATATTAGTATTGTAGCATGTGGCATAGAGACCATTCTTGTGATATTTTGGCTAAAATATGTGGTTGTTTCTCCATGTCTAGAAAAATCTGTCTGAGGCTAAATTGAAGAGTTTTGGTTAATTGAGCTAGCAGAGGAAATTTCAAAACAGTCTGGTATAGACTCTGTCATGTGGTTATTAGTATTCACTCATATGCAGATCTATAATGAAAACAAGCAAACTGAGCAAGGAAAAATGCAAAATGCACAGTTTAAGGAGAAAGGGGACGCCAGGAAATGGGTTGGAGTCAAGTCCTGTGTTCAAGGAGATAAACAGATTGAAGAAAATCCTGGTGTTAAATGGAAAAAAAAGGGAGTGGTGACCTCAGAGCAAGATCCCGCCCAGCTAAACTTCCAACTTGTGAAAAGGAACTAAAGGAAAGTTTAGAGCTAGGGGTGGTGATGCACACCTTTAATCCCAGCACTCCAAAGTCAGAGGCAGGCAGATCTCTGGGTCTGAGGCCAGCATGGTCTACAGATCCAGTTTCAGGACAGTCAAGCTTAGACAGTGAAGGAAACCATGCGAAGCAGAAAGTCAGTGAAAATGTATTTGAATGAGGGGGCCATGTTGCAGCCCCAGCAAGCGGTAGAGCTTGGCAGTTTGGGGCATGAGTCAAGGATACAAGAAAGGGGTTATGGAATCTTTGTCTTTGACTAAGGAATATGTCAGAGGTGTCCCTGCATGGAGACCAAGAAAGGCCCTTGTGTGAAGCTGTGAAGGTGAAGCCTGGACTTCATTGGAGAACACAAGATGTTAGAGATGCCGGAGTTGGATACCTGCCGAGGAGAGCTGCTAACAGGGCTGGAACCAGACCGGGAGAAAAAAAGTGTGTTCTGCTAACAAAGCTGAAAGGAGCTGAAGATCTGAAGAGTGTTTTGACATCACACATGGAGATGCAGAGTCTGGAGTTTGCCCAGCTGGTTTTTGGTCTGGTTCTATAGCCTTTCTCACTATGCCCCCTTTCCTCCATTTTTGAATGATAATATATATTCTGTGCCATTACATGTTGGAAGTATGTAATCTATTTTTTATTTGGATTTTACAGGGCGTTATAATTAAGAGATTGTTTGAGTCTAACAAGAGACTTTGAGCTGGGTGGTGGTGGTGCATGCCTTTAATCCCAGGACTCGAGAGGTAGAGGCAGGTGGATCTCCGTGAGTTTGAGGCCAGCCTGGTCTATAAGAGCTAGTTCTAGAAAGCTTCTGTAAAGCAAAGGACATGGTCAACAAGACAAAATGACAGCCTACAGAATGGGAAACGATCTTCACCAACCTCAAATCAGACAGAGGGGCTGATCTCCAAAATATACAAAGAACTCAAGAAATTGGTCATCAAATGAACAAATAATCAAATAATAAAAAAATGGAGTACAGACCTAGACAGAGAACTCTCTACAGAGGAATCTAAAATGGCTGAAAGACACTTAAGGAAATGCTCAATATCCTTAGTCATCAGAGAAATGCAAATCAAAACAACTCTGAGATTCCATCTTACACCTGTAAGAATGGCCATGATCAAAAACACTGATGACAACTTATGCTGGAGAGGTTGTGGGGGAAAGGGAACACTTGTGCATTGCTGGTGGGAATGTAAGCTGGTACAGCCCCTTTGGATGTCAGTGTTGCAATTTCTCAGAAAATTAGGAAACAACCTTCCTCAAGACCCAATTATACCACTTTTGGGTATATATCCAAAGGATGCTCAATCGTGCCACAAGGACATGTGCTCAACCATGTTCATAGCAGCATTGTTTGTCATAGCCAGAATCTACAAACAACCTAAATGTCCCTCAACTGAAGAACAAATAAGGAAAATGTGGTACATTTACACAATGGAGTACTACACAGCAGAAAAAGGACAATGACAGCTTGAATTTTGCAGACAAATGGATGGAGTTAAAAAACATCATTTTGAGTGAAGTAACCCAGACCTAGAAAGACAATTATCACATATACACACTCATAAGTGATTTTTAAACATAAATCAAAGAAAACCAGTCCACAAATCACAATTCCAAAGAACCCAGACAACGATGAGGACTACATTGAGAGAGACATACATAGATCTAATCTACATAGGAGGTTAACAAAAGACAAGATCTCCTGAGTAAATTGGGAGCATGGGGACTTTGGGGTTGGAGGGGAGGGAAGAGGCAGGGAGGGAAGCAGAGAAAAATGCAGAGCTCAATAAAAATCAACCAAATTTTAAAAAATAGTAAAAACAAACAAAAAGCTAGTTCTAGAACAGGCTCCAAAGCTACAGAGAAACCCTGTCTCGGGGGGGGGGGGGGAGAGAGAGAGAGAGAGAGAGTTTGAATTTAGATTTTTAGATAGTGTGAAGACTGTTAAAAACTATGAAGATTTTTAAGTTGAACTAAATGCATTTTGCGTTATGATACAGCTATAAGTCTATGGGGACCAAGGAGTGGAACGTGGTGGTTTGAATGAAAATGTCCCCATAGACTCATAAGGAGTGATATTGGAAAGCGTGGCCTTGTTGGAGGAACTGTGTCATTTGGGGTGGGTTTTGAGGTTTCAGATGCTCAAGCCACGCCCAATGTGTTGCCCTCTTCCTGCTACCTGCCTATCCAGATGTAGAACTCCCAGCTACCTCTCCAGCACCATGTCTGCCTCATGCTACCCTGCTTCCCTCCTCGACACTAACGGACGAAACCTATGAACTGTAAGCCAGACCCAACTAAGTGTTTCCTTATTGAGAGTTGTGGTGTCTCCTCACAGCAGCAGAAACCCTAAGACAGTGTGAGGACCCAAGAAAGGGGCTGGGTCTGTGAAGAACTGAGGAGCCCAACACCAGCCCAGCCCCACCCAACCTCTTTCTAGTTCCCAGCTTCCCATGCAGTCAGGACAACGATGTGACTGAGTCCTGCCAAGGACACATGGCAAGATGGGGGCAGACTCTTTCCCACCATCCCACAAACCTCCCTTCCCTTCCACAGAGGGGTTCAGACCCTGGAGGAGGGCATAACCAGAAGAAGGAAGGCCCTAGGTCCCTGGATATCCACCTGGAGGCTGTCCATTGATCAGAATGTTTGGTACACCTATGAGAAAGAATTCTTCTATTGAGTGAACATTCTATACCTAGCTCTGGACCTGGGGACAAACAGTGATCTTATGCATGGCCAAGCCAGGTCAGTGGGAGCTGGGGGACAAATGCCTGGCTTTTCTCTTGGTATTTATGTAGCTGCGTCCCAAGCCTTGTATCCACCCATAGGGTAAACTTATACAAGTCTCTTTATATTTGAATGTCAGATCTTCTCCAGTAAGTGGCATAGGTCATGGCGTCCCATCCTATTTCCCGGTGACACAGATGACGAGGGACCAAGGCAGACACTGTTGGTAAACATTTATTTTCCCAGAAGTAGGAGAGGAGGTGGGTGGGTCTCAGGGCACTTGAGGCTCTGTGCATGGGCAGCGGGCAGATTAGCACTTATGGTGCTCCTGGTTGGCAGATGTTCCTGCTGGGTTCTGGAGGGACATGAGCCGTGGGCACAGCTGTGGCTGGCAGTGTCTGTCCCCACGGTTTGGATCGAACCCTCCCCAGTCCCATCTGTCAGCTGAGGCTCAGAAAGGTGAAGCAAGGTTCTCAGGGTCACACAATCCAGCCACTCGGCTAAGCCAAGCCACTTTCCCTCCAGAGGAGCAAGCAGATTTATCCCCTCCCCCAGGACACTGCTGTCCCCAGGGAAGCACAAATGAATCCTAAATCTGTGTCCTAGCTTGCCCCAACCACCCAAAAATAATTCCCAACTAAACTCTTCAGCTTTTCTATGCCACCCACTGCAGTCACCATACCCAGCTGCTTTCTGGGGATGAGAACGCATGGCCTTCCCTGACCCCAGTTCCTAAGACTCTCCAGTTCATCTATTTGGCCTCTTTTCCTATATAAATATTTATCCTCTTTTCCTATATAAATATCACTAGAGCTTATAATACCAAGCCATGGCAGTCACTAACACCATAGCATGAATTTGAGGACCAGCAATTCAGTCAAGCAGTCAAGAGAAGCAGGGTGAGGAAGAAATGGTTAAAGAGGGTACGGAAGGTGATTCTTGGTAAAGTTAGGGTTGCACGGTTGACTTACATAGCCGCCTTCTAACAGCCTGAGTCTCTGTGGTGACAGGAGACTTCCCTGTACCCAGGGATGGGGAAATATGACTTTTACTGATGGAGTCTGCAGCTCCTTTCAGAATTCTGATTCTGAGCCTGCCTGTGTGCACCGCGTTCCATGCCCTGTGCTCCCTGTCCCATGCTCCTGTGTTCCCTGCCCCATGCTGGAGACCAAGAGACAGGAGGAGCTTTGGTGGGAACCTCAGCCTAACCCCCGGGCCTGGTGGGCCAGCCTGAAGCCCCGAGAGTTCTACAGAGAGCAGGCAGAGGCCACGGAACTCTGAAGAACGGTGCTTGGCGGTGCCTGCCGGGATTGATTGAAGCCTTGAAGGCCATTGGCACTGGGCCAGTGCAAGTGGAGGAATAGCGTTCTGAGTATCAGCAACCTTCCAGGCAGTGAACCTGAGCAGCGTAGACCCGAAGCATTTGGGTCTTCCCTAGGCTGGGGAGAGGGAAGGCAGCCAGGTCTGCAGGACCAGGGCACCAAAGCAAGGGTGTGGCCTAATCTAAAGCAATGGGGAGGGGATTCTGGGAAAGGGCTGGCCTGAACGTGTTCCCTCAGCTGCCACGTGACGAGGA